ATTACTATATTGTACTAAGCTTATTATTATTCTATATATCTATAGGGTGTGGTGTGGTGTGTCCCGGTGATCTACAATGCTATTATTCTACTCATATATTTATAAATGTATTTTATAAATTCATACATTTCTTTAAATGCATTTCGTATCATAATAGCAATGTAGATCACGTGCTACTGTGGAGTAAATAATGCCTTATCTATTATTTTTTTAGCTATATTGTTCTTTTGCAACAACAAGGTAATACTCCTTTGATAGAACTTTTGATATACTATATTACTAGACCAATTCCATAGAGCCATAATTGTAGTTAAATCGGCCCCACTGTTTTGTGCTAAAAAGGCTGAGATTACTCATGTATCTTTTGCTGTTAAGTCTTCTAAAGATTTACTCAAACAAGTCTTTATCCATTGTGCAATCGAATCAGTTGAGGCAGGTCTATGGAGAACAGTAGCAGTGAGGAATAATGATCTTTGTATTTCATCAGAGTTGCGCCATTCTGTCGTTCGTGTTATGTATATATTGAAAGCAGATAAAGTACAAAAGATTTCATCCTCTGGATATGCTCTGATAAACAAAGTTTTATATTGTTCTTTTGATCCACCATGTGTTTTGAAAATCTTTACTTCTTTTGGGTTTTGAATACATACTGAAATACCATTTTGTAAACGTATTATAGAGGTGAGATCAATTCGTTGTAAATCTGATGGGCAACTTCTTGACATTAGTGCTAGTAATAGTGCTGTTTTTTGGGTGAGATTAAATATTGACATTTCTGAATTATAGCCTAATGACTGAATATAATCTATCATTGGTAATACATCTATAATGTCTGTAGGTTTGTGTTTAGGTGGTCTTAGATTATAAAGTTCTTTCATTACTTTAACGATAATGGGATATGCACCAATTGCTTTTCCTTCAACTGGGTCATGTACTTCACTAATAGCTGATCTGTAACTAGCTATAGTATTATATTGCATATTCTGATTGTATAGGTCATCTAAAAAATCTACTATTGTTTGAAGAGGGCACCTAATGGGATCATGATTTCCTAATGCGCACAAATTGAACCATTTTCACATGCATGATGACACTGTCTCTGAAGCTTTTGGATCATATGCTGAGATGTATAGTTCTGCAGCTCTTTCTGAAAAGCCTTTGTCTTTGAGATGTTTTTGGATACAATTGCTATGCAGATTTTCCATTTGTAGTTTCTGAGAAGGGTGATTCCATTGTATAGAACTGCTCTGCGTAGTAACATAATTGGAATGTCTATCAGATGATCTATCAGTATTGGGAACCAGGGAGCTGATCGCTATAAAGGAAAAATTAGTATCAACATAATCCTCTTGCGAAGAATCTTGGCTATAACTTTGGGTAGCAGAATCCATGGTAGGTTTGCAAACTCTCTCCATCTCTTCCATGACTGGTGAATGCATCAGTTGCTAGAGCTTTGGGGTTGTATTTCCAACTGAAAAATCTCTCTGTTTGGGCATTCTTGCTGGTTGCAAATAAATCGATGTTCCAGTATCCTCAAATCTGTTGTAGTAGATTAAATATTGGTCTTAACAAGGTCTATTCTGATTGTAAGTTTATCATCTGTGATGCTGCGTCTGCTAGTTTGTTTGTTTTCTCAGGGAGATATTGAGCCTGAATCACAATATTTCGAGATATACATAAGCTTCATATCTTTTCCACTATCTAACTTATCATCAGTAATGTTGTATCTTCCTGGTGATTAATATATACTACTGCAGTCATTGAATCTGACTTTATGATAATTGTTTGGTTGTTTAAATCCTTCTAATATGTTAATGCTTTTAGAACTATTCTTATTTCTAGGAGATTTATGTAATCTTCTCTTTCTCTTACCGACCACCTTTTTGATATTATCTGATTGTTCATTACAGCTCCTCATCCTCAGGGTGATGCATTTGTTTATATAATCGTACTTGGTAGTTCTATCAAAATCTTCCTTTCCTTGTGATGCATGAGTTGACCTATCCAATGATGCAGCTATTGTTTTCTCTAGATTGATAATTGGACTACTGAATTTCACCCTTAGAGTTTTAGTTGCCTGTTTTTGTCGCGCAATAATGCATGTGATAATAGTCATGTGGTAGAAATGCATTGGTGACTACTATCAGTTTGCCTATTAATGATGCGAGCTTCTGAATATGGGTGTTCTCTTTCTTGTACGCTACAGAGCATTTGTGGATCAATTCCTTACCTTGCGATTAGGTATTTGAAAAGTCATATCATTTGAGTTTATAGTAAATCCTAAAAACTCTATCGACTGAACTGGCTTTAGCTATGATTTTTCTATGTTGATATTGAATCCTATTAGGTGTAGAAGTTGTAAGAGCTTCTCTTTGTCTGCTAATGCCTGTTCGCGAAAATTTGCCATGACGAGAATGTCATCTAAGTATGCTACTAATCTGATGTTTATTTGCCTTGCTATCTCTATTACGGGTCAGAGGATCTTCCTGAAGGTTCGTGGACTAGTTGAGAGCTTAAAAGGTAAACATGTAAAGCAATATAGTTTTCCGTTGCACTCGAATATGAAAAACCTTTGTGCTTCTATATGTAAAGGCAGGTGATGGAAGGCTTCCTTGATATCTATAGATATTATAAAATCTTTGGGGCATAACAGTGCTTTTACGAGATCTAATCCCTCCATCTTGAAATGGAGATAATGAATGTAAGTGTTTAGTTTCTGTAGATCTATAACTAATCTGTGCGATCTCATCTTTTTGGGTACTAAGAATATATTTGAAATAAAGCAAGGTTTGTGTGTAGGGAATTCTATTATAACCTTTTGGTTTATTAGCTGTGCTACTTCTTGTTGTATTTTCATATCTTGTTGAATGCGAGATGGAGTATAAACTTGTAATGGTAGCATTTGTTCCCAAACAAGATAATATTCTTCTTCGATTGTTGTAGTAGCCTAGTGTTAAGGTAGATAACGCTGCCACATATAAAGTGCTCTTTTCAACCTTCCTCCAATAGTATTTGCCATATCTACTGTGATTGGTGTTGATTGGGGCGATCCAATTGTGGACCACCCTGTACCTGTTTTCCTGTCTATAACCTGAAAAACCCCTGTAGCAAGGTGTTTGGTATCTGTTGACTCTTGTACTCCAGAAGTTACTATAGGATCTTGTCAGTCTATGTTCAAGATTCTCTTATCATTTTCATTGATACAAAGCGTCATTAAAAAATTTTGCTTCCCTATTTCTTTCATCATGATTTGTTGTAATTCTCACCCAAAAACAGAGTCTGTTTCGAGTGTGGGTTGATGGTTGAGCATAAAAGATTTAAGTGCTTTGTCTCTATGTACTTCATTGAGAGTAGACAAGAAGTCCAAAGTGAGTAATTTTGTGAACAACAAGGCTTTTTCTATATACTTCCATGATGCCAGGTTGTTCTGATCTTTATCTGATAGTTTGGTTTCATATAAATGTTTAATCGCTAAATCTAATGGGCACAGTGATGATGAAAATTTATATGCAAGTTTTGACAATACTTTGTCTGTATTACGTGCCTGTTTTGATATATGACTAATGATTTGTTTGTCCATGAGAAGTGGGTTAAATTTAATATTTTTGTTCCATGGGTATGATTGTAGTAATGTTTGACATTCATGTTGCAACAGAGTATTTCTCTTATATACATTTGTGATAAGTTCTGCCATAATTCCAGTAGGTATCCAATAGCTATGGGGTCTTTATCGAATGACTCCTCCATGTCATTATTAATAAAAGGTGGGTAGAAAGTATCATCTGAATTATACCCTTGTGAATCTTCATTATTGGCATTTGCATTGTTTATATTGATTGTATTATTTGTATTATTTGTTCTTGTATTTCAACCTGCGTAATGGGAGTATTATAATCATTATTGCTTATTTGTGAAAGACTTTCTGTAGACATTCTTTGCACAGAGATGTTCTTTTCATAGTGTGGATAGCTAACCAGAAAAAAATGGCCTAGATTGAAAATGTAGATCCTTAGGTTATTTTTATATCTATAAAATTAATGATATAATCATACTCTAAATTCTGGACGCTAACCAATAAACAGGCCAATTAGCACGTGATCTACATTGCTATTATGATACGAAATGCATTTGTAATTATACCAATTTTGTGACTATAGAGGAGGTGACTATAGAGAGGTTTGACTGTATTTCTACTATGATTACATGGGATTTTCTATTTTTAGTATTTAATATATTTAATTTAAGAAGTTTTTATTAAGTTAGGGTTTGTTGGGCTTCTAAGTAAAGTTGTAGAGGAGATTTTTCTAGTTCTAATAGTGGTTAGTTCATCAAAATCAGCTTGGTGAATCACAAGATATTTGAAGTTAAAGGTGCAAACATAGAGATCTACAAGTTGGTGATTACACAAAGTATTATAGTCTTTAGTACTTTGTGTAATCATCAATTTGCAGATCCTTATGTTCGTGTCTTTAACTCCAAATATCTTGGGATCTACCAAGCTGATTTTGATGATCTAACCACCATTAGAACCAAAAAAATCTTCTTTACAACTTTACTTAGAAGCCTAACAAACCCTAACTTAATAAAAACTACTTTAATTTTAAAAAAAAAATATTTTTTTTTAAATTTAATTAGTTGTTAAAAATAGAATTTTTTATATTGTTTTGTATAACTCATAGTGAAAATAACAATTTGTCATGGTGAAAATAACAATTCCCTTATTATATTATTCTATTATCAAAATATTCTAGTTGTTTTCACGTGATATTCCTTCTTTAAGTTGTAGTGAATTCAGAAATATCAGCATCATAAGCAATACCTGATCAAGATTTTTCATGAGTGCAGAGTCATAAACACGTACTGCACCTATATTGAGAAAAATATCTAACTACTATATATGATTCTAATCATAATAACAATCATATTAAGTATTGAATTTAATGAAAATGATGTAAAATTAGCAGCAAAAGTTGAAGCTAGCTAGATAAAAAGTATATTTTATGAGAAAACAATAAATTTTCAAAATTTGAAACCATCATTAGATATAAATTTGGCATATAGATTTATTGAATACCAAAGTAGATTGTTTTAAAATAAGTTGAGATATAAATTAATTGTTTAAATTTTTGTTTAGTAAATATTTTGATTTTATTATAATAATCTATATTTACTTTCTAAATAAACATAGTGTTAAATTTATATATGAAACTAGAGGATGTAGATGTGGGTGGTTTTGCTACCTGGTTGAAGTTGTTATAGTATTATTTCTTAAAAGAAACAATATATAATGGTTAAATGAAATTATATCAGTAGATTTAGATATATTTAAAAAATTTTAAATAAGATTTTATTATATATAAACATATATATAAAATATAAATATATAATATATTGTTTTATTCGATATTTATTTTTTAATATAAAGTATGAAGTGTGTTTTAGATATAAAGTCAGAACTGGTGCTAGTTATTATAAGGATAAATTTTACTTTGTAGAAATAAAAC